TCATCGTTAAAGTGTTAAACAATTGAGTATAGGGATATCCCAAATGGAATTGAATACTTACACACTTGGAGGATATAGGAATCAAAGTTAACGGTAAAAATTATGGTAGATTATTATTATTGAGAAATCACCACGTAATTAACATATCTGCGGTGCTTAATAGAGAAAAGTTAATTTTTTGGATATCTAGAGTCGAGAACAACCAAACATTTCCAAATTTTCAGAATTTTCTTTTCTATAAAGACATATGTTGGCAATATTTAGGTGATCCAATGTTGCTAAGAGCTGATGCAGCTCTTCTCGTGGACCATTCGGCGCCGCCCACAGATGCAGACGTCAACATTGCAAACGCAAAGAAATCTAAGATGAGTTCTTTGACAAAATCAAATTTTCAATTAAGGAAAAAGTAAATCTTGCTTTTGCTAATTACATTTCTTTTAGATGAAAAAGGATTCGTCTGCGTCTAACAAAGATCTTGAAACGGCACGCAGTATGTCCCCTGGGTAGGCTCAACTGTTGCTGCTACCTTTGATTTTCTCTTTGAAGATAAGGCCTCTTATCTTCAAAGAGAAAATCAAAGGTAGCTGAAACGGGTTTTTGACAATTTTTTAATCGACTTTATCCTCACAGTGAAAACGCATCATGTCAATCAAAAGAAAAGTCCAGAAATTGCTATTTCAAGCATTTCAAGTAATGCATTCTAGCCCTCAAGGTGAAGCAGCAGTTCCTGTGGAAATGAACATTGCTGAGGATAAGAAGACGACAGTTTCTGATGAAAGTGACATAAAAACTGCTGTCGCAGCCACGCCCGAGAAAAAACCCTCTTAGTGTCTCTCTTGCAAATCGTCAGCACCATACATTTGATTAACTTCATTTTTTTTTCTTTCAAAATCCATGACTAAAGCTTTATAATAATTTTTGCTTATGATAGAGAATAAAGGTTGTTAGTGTTTTTGACGTGAAAAACAATTTGTTTCTGTCCTTGCAAAAATTAGACAGAGCTGCTGGAGTGTCGCACTCACTGTCTGCAAACAATCTTCTTGGGGTAAAAAGATGGCATTTGCAGTTTTGTGCATTCATTGACACTCTGAAGCCATTCGTTTTCAAATTCCCTTATCAGACTTCTTGTAACAACAGCAAGTTAGTGATTATTTGTACCATTCTTAAATAAGAAGATTTTTGAAGCAAAAATTAATTAAGTCCTTATTCATAATGACGCAGATGAGGCGCATTCCTCGTCATCTCCAACTCTTTATACAATCGTATGCGAAGTTAGATCAGACTTGACTAGTCGACGTCCCGTAGATTTGGCAAGCATGCAACAGTAGGGCCAATCAGCATAGATAATGGTGAAGTTGCGGTACGTGGATAGCATGGTATTCCACGGTGTGTGATGATCAATTACATAACATCATTTTCAAAGTTTTAAGAAAAGAAATAGCCTTTTAAGTGCGATGAGTCAATATAAGGGCTTCTATTACTTCTCTCTTACAAGGTGTTACACTCAATTGTTGAGAAGAAAAAACGGGAAGGCTGCTACAGCAAAGGGTACTGAAACGACGACTACAGCGCCAACGCTGTCTCGTCAAATAAATGAGCTCTGCCCAAATGATGCAACCTTATTCACTACCTTACTACAAGCGCTGAAGAACTCTTTCACACAAAAGCGCCTTCTGTGGATGACGGTGGGAAAAGCAGCTGATCTAAGCGAAAATTCCTTAAACAGATAGATTGCTATCTTCTACAACCTCATGCAGACCCATAAGTTCTCTGTGCCCAATTGCATCGTATGTCAATCAAAACGGACAAGGTATGTCTTTTCATTAGCATGTTGGAAAATCTACTGTTTTGATATTTATTTTTTTCCACATAAGAGAGACCTTTATGGCAGTCACACATTATGCTTCATTGAAAACACAGCGAAACAAGTAATTGAATAGTACAATGCAAAAACTAAACAGCGCTAATGAAGAAAGTAGATGGTTGTTCAGAATACTTTAAATAATGAGAGTTAGGCGATATTGTTTTC